CTTTTTTTTATAGATACAGAAAATGCTCTGTTTATAATAAACAGTATTAAACAACATTTACTGGCCTGAATGTCGGAGGACGAATATTTTCAGACCGGTAAATGTTGTTAATACTGTTTATTATAAAACAGAGCATTTAGTTAAATATTTGTATCTATAAAAAAAAAAAAAAAAGAGAACGTATAAACATAAAAATTGGCGGACTTTGTCCATTTCATAATGTGAGACGTCATATGTTTACATTTGGATACGCATCGAGCAGATATGAATGTACGAGAGAAAATCATGGGAAATTGTAGTTTAAAAACAGTAAAATCGACCTTGCTAACCAAAACGCTCCTCTGTGGCTAAATCGGTAAAAGCACGTCAGGCTATATGACGGTTTCGTATAGGATACAGGTTCGATTTTTGTCAGAGGACATAGATTTTCTATGAAAATTTCTCGGACATTGTGTAACCTAAAAAATGAAAAACGGAAAAAATAAAATAAAAACAAACAAATACACTAATAAAAAAAAAAATAAATAAATAAATAAATACTATGTTGCTTAAAAACCGAAAACCAAAAAGAGAAAATATACAAATAAATTGACCTAAATTCATACAAGTAAATAAATAGACAAACCAATCCCAAATTAAAAAACTGTTCCCGCCAAAAAAATAATAGTTAGAATGAACTACAACAACCAACCCCAAAATTGAACAAATAGCTTTAATTAAATTCTCAAACCAAAACAAACACGTGATAAACGTTAAATACGTGATATAAACAAATTTTTACTACGTTAATAAATAAATAAATAAATAAAATAAGAAACAAAAAAAATAAAATAAAAACGAGCAATATAATTTGACCCAAATAAATAAACAAAGCGACTTCCGGTAAAAATAACCGCCATAATAGAATACCCACAATGCACCACAAACCCGTATATATATATAAATAGCCGAGAAAAATAACAGCATATGTGGCCTGACGATTGCATATAGCATGAAACAGACTGTCGCCTCTGTTGACTTCTATGTTCACTTTTACATTTACACACGCTCTATCTCTGATATTGAGCACTTTATCCCATAAATATAGCACGCCTTAAGACTATATATATATATATATATATATATATATATATATATATATATATATATAATAAAAAGAAAAAAAGAACAGTAAGTTATATAATCCGGTGTTTTTTTACTGATATTTTTCTTTTACAAAACAGTACTCAATGTAAATTTACAAAGCATTAATATTATAAATTAACTGATTTAAATTATGTTTTTTTCGCTACACATTAATAACCATGTTTCAAAAATGGAAGCTAAAAGTTTCAAATTTAATTTTGTAATTAAGTTAAAAACATTAGTTCGATTTCATGCTCAACCGAATTTTGGAGTAACTTCTTTTTTTTTTAAATTTACTGAGTTTTAAACCCACAGAAAAATCATAATTCACTGTTTCCAAGGATACAGAGAGAGCCAATCATTCAGACAAGGGGTGGTAGCGTGTTCATTTTCATTAACTTTTGTTGTATCAGTTATGAATTAGGTTCGAATAAGGAATTATGTTTAGGTAGAGGTAGGGATGTATTTTTCAACGAATTCTGACATCCATTAAATGCATGGCGTCTGTTTTTTTTTGTTTTTTTTATTGTTAACGGCAAAAAATTCTTACGGCATTTTTTCTCTTAAAGATACTTTTTGGGGGATGTTTAGAATAGAATACGTTTTATTTAACTACAATTTAAAAATATTTTCACTTTATATATATATATATATATATATATATATATATATATATATATATATATATATATATATATATATATCTTTTTTTTTGGGGCGGGTACACGTGTTTGAGTTGCCATCCGGGTTGTTATTTTTTTCTTAAACATGTAAATTAATAATAACCATAAATTTACATTATTCAGACTGTTATCCTCATCTTCATTGCCACATTCACAACGTTTCGGCCGTTGTATGCTCCGGCCTTCTTCAGGTGATTGGATCTCTGAGATGAGGTATTATGATTATTGACATTATTTACATTATTCAGACTGTTATCATCATCTCCATGACTTTATTTACAACGTTGTACGCTCCGGACTTCTTCAGGTGATTGGAATTTCGAACCGAACTATTATTTTGCCCACCGGAGTAGATGTCCCAGTAGATAAAGGCGTTGGTTAAATCCAGTAACTAGACCCAAAGAGTTGTGAGTTCAATACCAGGCTACAGCAGTGGTGAACCAAAAACATGGAGAGTTGTGTTAAAGGCAAATAACTGAGACGTTCTGGAAGAGGTATGGCACGTGGAACTAGAGCAGTCTACCACCGGTGGACAAAATAAATGGTTTCGTTCGAAATTCCAATGACCTGAAGAAGGCCGGAGTGTATAGCGGCCGAAACGTTCTGAAGATGAGGATAACAGTCCGAATAATGTAAATAATGTCAATAATCATAATACCTCATCTCAGAGATCCACTCACCTGAAGAAGGCCGTTAAAGTTAATCCGGTTCAGAAATACTAATTTTAAAAAAAAAAATCGTTGGCCGTGCGACTGCCAGCCTCATTCGTACCACCAGCATGTGCAATCAACAGACCGCCAGTCATGCCTTTTCGACGACATTAATTTCGAATTGCAATAATTGCTCTGCAATTATACGTTATGTATTATCTTACGCGTATCTTTATACGGCTTCTTACGGGGTCATTTTTGTTTTAATTCCCTCACAGACGTGCCGTCGCCTCCCTCTGTCTTTTCTTACAAATACTTTCACGGTAACTGCTCTGATAAGTTGCTTTCGCTGGTTCCCAAACTTCATGAATTTAAGCGTTCAACTAGGCTGGCATCTCGCTCTCACCCTTTCACTGTCGAAATTGTTAAATGTAGCCGTCTCTTCTACTCCAATAGCTTCATGTCTCACACCTCTCGCCTGTGGAACTCCATCCCTTCTTCCTGTTTCCCCGATAGCTATAATCTCCAACTATTCAAATGTAATGTAAATCGACGTCTCCAGATGCCCTGATCTATCCCCTAATCTTTTCTTCATCCTTTCCTCTATCACTCCTCTTTGCTCTCGCGCCAATTCTCTGTAACCCCTTGCGTGCTAGTGGCTTCTCGCCTTGCTTGGGGCGAAACGCTTAAAAAAAAAAATCATAAAAATATGATTTTTATTTTCCCAAGTATAACAGCAATATTCTTAAATGTTTCTAGCAGCAAAGTGTTATATTTAAAAAAAAAAAAATATTCAATTAAAATACTACAATTAAAAATTTTTTTTTTCATTTTTCTACAAGATCTTTTTGAAAATCACGTAAGTTACCTCCCTTGGATAGAAGTAAAAAGAAATATTTTGAATTTACGATGTTAACGCATAACACATCCATAGATATGCAAACCCTGAAGATGGCTTCAGATAAGATTGAAAGTACTTGGGAAAATAAATATTATTTGAAAAAAAATTTTGAAATGTTTCTTAATCAGTTTTCTACAACAAAGAAATTATTTTCGTTGACTTGAAAGGATTAAAACTAAAATAAATAGCCATAATATGTCTAGATTAGTAAACCAAACATACTTGAATGAAAATATGCTGTCAAAATACACACACACACATACGCGCGCGCGCACACACACGTTGGATTGTTTTTGTCTATATTTCTGAGATGAGGTATTATGTACACTATTTCACTATTTATGTTTTTCGGACTATTGTCCTCATCTTTGTCGCCATATTTATTACAATGTTTCGGCCGTTGTACGCTCCGGCCTTCTTCAGGTGGTTGAAATGTCGACCTGAACCCTTTATTTCACTCGCTGGGGTACGCTTTCTCCGGTTAACTCCCCTCTCCAAGTTCACCACCGCCTTAAGCAGGTATTGAACTCACACTCTTTTGGTCCTGTGACTGGATCTAACGAACGCCTTTATCCATTGTGATATGTGTCCTTAAGAACATCTCTGTATGAAGACGTGGCACGTGGAACTAGAACAGTCTACCCCAGTGAGGGAAATAAAGTTTGACTTTTCAACCACCTGAAGAAGGCCGAAACGTTGTAATAAATATGGCGACAAAGATGAGGACAATAGTCCGAATAATGTAAATAGTGAATTGGATCGTCATTATGATTCTAATGTAATAAATTATAACTATGGATTATTAGTGTTTAAACCTTTCATATTATATTAATAATTTGAACATGGCCAGCACGCTCAAGCCCTCAACAATTCCGTCTACCCCCATATATATATATATATATATATATATATATATATATATATATATAAAATAAAATTCAAACACTAATATTCCATGGTTATAATTTATTATAAATCATAATCACGATCCAATTCACTATTTACATTATTCGGACTATTGACCTCATCTTTGTCGCCATATATATATATATATATATATATATATATATATTCCCTGTGAGGTTAAGTTTAATCAGTAGTTCTCCCGCCCTTGATCTTAATTCTCTGATGACGTTGATCGCTGGTGGCGTGAAATTGGGTGTAAAATTTGTAAGTCGTTGTTTCCAGACCCCATGTCTGTTTCTTCTTATAATTACAGCTTTGTCTAAGTTGGTTTCCCATTTCGGATATCCTTTCGTCAAAATATTTCCCAATTTCGATTTCTTTTTTCAGCGTTTGTATAGGATGGGTTGATTTTTTTTTTCTGATTTCTAGTTCATTCTCTCAAGGCTCAAGAATTGAAAACGACAGTATGTCTAGAAAACCGGTAGTCAAGATGGCTACAATTGAAAGAAAAGAGCAAAAAGAGAAAATGTTAAGGAGTGAGTGTAAAGTGAAAAAAAAATAACGATGGAAAGGACATCAAACCATGGCATTTTGCACGTACGCTCATACGCATACACGGTCGCATGACTGCAAATGCGAGAATACAGACACCCACACCATGAAAAAAAAGCTTGCACCAATGAAAAGTGCATATAGAAAAGACAAATCGAGCGGGAGACGAACGAACAGACTGACATAGATAGATAGATAGATAGATAGATAGATATGAAGACTGAGATAGGTAGATAGATATTTATTAACAGATTGAGATATTTAACATATTGAGATAGATAGATAGATAGATACATATTAACAGATTGAGATAGATAGATAAAGAGATAGATAATTAACAGACTAATTAATATATCTACCTGACGATATTCACCCGACAATTGCTAGTCACATGAAACGTGAGCGTTGTGTATGTTGTATGTAGGAATGCGTATGCAATTTCCTTATTTGCCTCTCTCCGAACCTTTGTCCTTTGGCATTGATTACTTGGTCTTTTGCCATTGCAAGTGTTTGTATGCTTTTTGCATACTTTATTTGTAGTCTTTACATATCTTTGTTGAATAATGTTATAGAGCACAGGGCGAGGTTGGTTCTTGCCTTTTACAAAGCCATTAGTGAAACGTGGATAGACGCAGCCTAACCTGGATGTTGCACTCTACTCACCTATCTCGTTTTCATTACCGCTAACCTTGACGCCACCTCTTCATTGGCAATTACGGAACACCAAATAATCCCACACCCGCCACTCTGTCCCACGTGGGAAATGCAATTACTGGCGTAAGGAACAGGTCGCTGGAAACTGATGAGTCTCCAGTGCGAAACTAGCAATTAATCATGAGGACAATTTAAACCGAACAAAGTAAATTATTTATCTGATTTCATTATCCTCTTTTATTTATTTATTTAGAGGATCTGATTTGCATATTTATTTATTTTACTTTCTATGTGATTTACATATTTATTCATTTTTCGTAGGATTTGAGTTACATATTTATTTTTGTATTTTTCGTAGTATCTGATTTGTATTGGGCTACAACGAATTCAGTTTGTATTTATTAAGTCCCTTACTCTGATGAGAACAACCGCCGCCAT